CCCTAGGAGAAACACACCAAGACACATATTAATCAAACTAACAAAAATTAAATTCAATGAAACAATATTAAAAGCAGCAAGGGAAAAACAGAAAATAACATACAAAGGAATCCCCATAAGGTTATCAGCTGATTTTTTAGCAGAAACTCTGCAGGCCAGAAGGGAGTGGTAGGATATATTTAAAGGGATGAAGGAGAAAAACCTACAACCAAGATTACTCTACCCAGCAAGGATCTCATTCAGATTCGATGGAGAAGTCAAAAGCTTTTCAGACAAGCAAAAGTTAAGAGAAGTCAGCACGACCAAACCAGCTTTACAACAAATGCTAAAGAAACTTCTCTAGGTGGGAGACACAAGAGAAGAAAAAGATCCACAAAAACAAACCCAAACAAAGTGAGAGAGTGGCATGGACATATATACATTACCAAATGTAAAATAGATAGCTAGTGGGAAGCTGCCACATAGCACAGGGAGATCAGCTCGGTGCTTTGTGTCCCCCCTACAGGGGTAGGATAGGGAGGGTGGGAGGGAGACACAAGAGGGAAGAGATATGGGAATGTACGTATATGTATAGCTGATTCACTTTGTTATACAGCAGAAACTAACACACCATTGTAAAGCAATTATACTCCAGTAAAGATGTTACAAAAGAAAACCAAAAACAATTAAGAAAATGGTAATAGGAACATACATATCAATAATAACCTTGAATGTAAATGGATTAAATGATCCAACCAAAAGACACAGACTGGCTGAATGGATACGAAAGCAAGACCCATATATATGCTGTCACCAAGAGACCCACTTCAGACCTAGGGAGACATACAGACTGAAAGTCAAGGGATGGAAAAAGATATTCCATGCAAATGGAAATCAAAAGAAAGCTGGAGTAGCAATACTCATATCAGATAAAATAAACTTTAACATAAAGAATGTTACAAGAGATAAGGAAGGACACTACATAATGATCAAGGGACCAATCCAAGAAGATATAACAATTATAAATGTTTATGGACCCAACATAGGAGCACCTCAACACATAAGGCAAATGCTAACAACCATAAAGGGGAAATCGACAGCAACACAACAATAGTAGAGGACTTTAACACCCCACTTACACCGATGGACAGATCATCCAAACAGAAAATAAATAAGGAAACACAAGCTTTAGATGACACAATATACCAGATAGATTTAATTGATATTTATAGAACATTCCACCCAAAAGTGGCAGAATACACTTTCTTCTCAAGTGCACACAGAACATTCTCCAGGATAGATCACATCTTGGGTCACAAATCAAGCCTCGGTAAATTTAAGAAAATTGAAATCATATCAAGCATCTTTTCTGACCATAACGCTATGAGGTTGGAAATCAATTAGAGGAAAAAAACTGTAAAAACCACAAATACATGCAGGCTAAACAGTGCACTACTAAATAACCAAGAGATCACTGAAGAAATCAAAGAGGAAATTTAAAAATACATAAAAACAAATGACAATGAAAACACAATGACCCAAAAGCAGTTCTAAGAGGGAAGTTTATAGAAGTTCAAGCTCACCTCAAGAAACAAGAAAAATCTCAGATACACAATCTAACCCTACACCTAAAGCAACTAGAGAAAGAAGAACAAAGAAAACCCAAAGTCAGTACAAGGAAAGAAATCACAAATATCAGAGAAGAAATAAATGAAATACAAACAAAGAAAACAATAGCAAAGATCAATAAAACTAAAAGCTGGTTCTTTGAGAAGATAAACAAAATTGATAAACCCTTAGCCAGACTCATCAAGAAAAAAAGGGAGAGGATGCAAATAAATAAAATTAGAAATGAAAAAGGAGAAATCATAACTGATGCTGCAGAAATACAAAGGATTATAAAAGACTACTACAAACAACTATATCCCAATAAAATGGAAACCACGAAGAAATGGACAAATTCTTGGAAAGGTACAGTTTTCCAAGACTGAACCAGGAAGAATTAGAACATATAAACAGACCTATCACAAGTAATGACATTGAAACTGTAATTTAAAATCTTTCAAAAAACAAAAGCCCAGGACCGGATAGCTTCACAGGTGAATTCTATCAAACATTTAGAGAAGAGCTAACACCTATCCTTCTCAAACTCTTCCAAAAAATTGCAGAGGGAGGAACACTCCCAAATTCATTCTACGAGGCCACCATCACCCTGACACCAAAACCAGACAAAAATATCACAAAAAAAGAAAATTATAGACTGATGAACATAGATGCAAAAACCCTGAACAAAATACCAGCAAACAGAATCCAACAACATATTAAAAGGATCATACACCATGACCAAGTGGGATTTATCCCAGGGATGCAAGGATTCTTCAATATATGCAAAACAATCAATGTGATACACCAAATTAACAAATTAAGGAATAAAAACCATATGATCATCTCAGTAGATGCAGAAAAAGCTTTTGACAAAATTCAACACCATTTATGATAAAAAAAAACTCTCCAGAAAATGGGCATAGAGGGAACCTACCTCAACATAATAAAAGGCCACATATGACAAACGCACAGCAAACATCATACTCAATGGTGAAAAACTGAAAGCATTTCCACTAAGATCAGGAGCAAGACAAGGATATCCACTCTTATTAAACATAGTTTTGGAAGTCCTAGCCATGGCAATCAGAGAAGAAAAAGAAATAAAAGGAATACAGATTGGAAAAGAAGTAAAACTGTCACTGTTTTCAGATGACATGATACTATACATAGAGAATCCTAAAGATGCCACCAGAAAACTACTAGAACTAATCAATTAATTTGGTAAGGTTGCAGGATACAAAATTAATTCACAGAAATCTCTGGCATTCCTATACACTAACAATGAAAAATCAGAAAGAGAAATCAAGGAAACAAACCCATTCACCATCACAACAAAAAGAATAAAATACCTAGGAATAAACCTACCTAAGGAGTCAAAAGACTTGTACTCAGAAAACCATAAAACACTGATGAAAGAAATCAAAAATGACATAAACAGATGGAGAAATATACCATGTTCTTGGATTGGAAGAATCAATATTGTGAAAATGACTATACTACCCAAAGCAATCTACAGGTTCAGTGCAATCCCTATCAAATTATCAATGGCATTCTTCACAGGATTCAAACAAAAAACTTTAAATTCGTATAGAAACACAACAGACCTTGAATAGCCAAGGCAATCTTGAGAAAGAAAAACGGAGCTGGAGGAATCAGGCTCCCTGACTTCAAACTATACTACAAAGCTACAGTAATCAAGAAAAGTATGATACTGGCACAAAAACAGAAATCTAGGTCAATGGTACAGAATAGAAAGCCCAGAGATAAACCCACACACATATGGTCACCTAATTTATGACAAAGGAAGCAAGAACATACAATGGAGAAAAGACAGCCTCTTCAGTAAGTGGTGCTGGGAAAACTGGACAGCTACATGGAAAAGAATGAAATTAGAACACTCCCTAACACCATACACAAAATACACAAAAATAAGACCAGACACTATAAAACTCTTAGAGGAAAACATAGGAAAAACACTCTGACATAATCCACAACAAGATCCTTTTTGACCCACCTCCTAGAGTAATGGAAATAAAAACAAAAATAAACACATGGGATCTAATGAAACTTAAAAGCTTTTGCACAGCAAAGGAAACCTTAAGCAAAATGAAAAGACAGCCCTCGGAATGGGAGAAAATAGTTGCAAGCGAAGCAACTGACAAAGGATTAATCTCCAAAATATACAAACTGCTCACGTAGCTCAGTATCAAAGAAACAAACAATTCAACTAAAAAATGGGCGGAAGACCTAAATAGACATGTCACCAAAGAAGACATACAAATGGCCAGGAGGCACATGAAAAGATGCTCAACATCACTAATTGTTAGAGAAATGCAAATCAAAACTACAATGAGGTATCACCTCACACCTGTCAGAACGGCCATTATCAAAAAGTCTAGAAACAATAAAGGCTGGAAAGGGTGTGGTGAAAAGGGAACGCTCCTGCACTGTCAGTGAGAATGTAAATTGATACAACCACTATGGAGAACAGTATGAAGTTTCCTTAAAATACTAAAACTAGAACTACCATATGACCCAGTGATCCCACTACTGGGCATATACCCTGAGAAAACCATAATTCAAAAACAGACATGTATCACAATGTTCATTGCAGCACTGTTTACAGTAGCCAGGATATGGAACCAACCTAAATGCCCGTCGACAGATGAATGGATAAAGAAGATGTGGCACATATATACAATGGAATATTACTCAGCCATAAAAAGAAATGAAACTGAGTTATTTGTAGTGAGGTGGTTGGATGTAAAGTCTGTCATACAGAGTGAAGTAAGTCAGAAAGAGAAAAACAAATACCATATGCTAACACATATATATGGAATCTAAAAAGAAAAAAAAAGGTACTGATGAACCTAGGGGCAGGGCAGGAATAAAGACATAGACATAGAGAATGGACTTGAGGACACGGGGTGGGGGCGGGGGAAGCTGGGGCAAAGTGAGAGTAGCATCGACATATGTACACTGCTGAATGTAAAATAGCTAGCTAGTGGTAAGCAGCAGCATAGCACAGGGAGATCAGCTCAGTGCTTTGTGACCACCTAGAGGGGGTGGGGTAGGGAGGGTGGGAGGGAGGCTCAAGAGGGAGGGGGATATGGGGATATATATATGCATATGGCTGATTCACTTTGTTGTACAACAAATAAACTAACACAGTATTGTGCAGCAGTTATACTCCAATAAAGATCTATTTTTAAAAAGTGATTCATATAAAATTTTTTTAAATAAAATAAAAACTAAAATAAATTTAGGGCATTCCCTGGCCGTCCAGTGGTTAGGACCCTGTGCTTCCACTGCTGGGGGCATGGGTTCAATCCCTGGTCAGGGAACTAAGATCCCATATGCCCTGTGGCACAGCCAAAAAAATAATAATAAATAAATTTTAAAAGAAGTGACTCAGATCCCCTTCTCCAGCTATCAAAGAAATCAACATTATCTCTTTGTTTCTTAGGATTTGATTCTAAAGAAGGAAATTGGTATCATTATATCAGAGTCAAATTCAATCAGAAAGAAAAGCATCTTTGTAGCACAATCATCTAAAATCACAAACTTCAACAACCTTAGAAATATGCTGATTGAAGTAATCACGGAGAAGGACAATTAAGTAAATCTGAAACAAATGCTGATTCTAAAGCTCATTTCAACTTTAAGAGAACAATATGAACAAAAAGTCACAAGTTTGATGGGAAATTTCCATTCTGGTCCTAGTAAGTATTTTAATTACATCTGTTAATCTGGGAATGTGCTCTGCAACTGGGAAATCATGAAGCAAATTTAACAGAACTGCTCTTTCCGAAAAGAATTATCACTCATCAAAACCTCTGAAAGGTTAAAACTATAATTCTGAAAAATAGTTTTTTTTGCTTTGGGCCACCTTTTTTTTTTCTTTTTTTCTTGAGATAGTAAATGCCCTGAGGCTCTGACCCAGCTTCAGAAAAAAAGCCAGTAGAGTGAATTCGGGAGGAAAAAAATATATATCCAATTGAGGATGAGCAAAAGGGTAACAGGAATTAAGAACTGACATGGAAAAGGAATACCCTAAAAGTATGTATATAAGGGCCAAAAAGGCAGCTTGCAAATAGGTTGTTTCCGATCTCCTCTCCTCACCTGGACGAACCAATCCTTTGCAGGAACACCATGTCTTGCTCATCTCTAGTGTCCTCCTCCGGGGCTGGTGGCAGCAGCTTCAGCAGCAGAAGCAGATGCAGTCTGGGGGGAGGCTCTGCCCGGGGATTCCGAGGAGGGGCCAGCAGCTGTGGCCTGAGTGGGGGCTCCAGCAGGGGCTTTGGAGGCAGCTTTGGAGGTAGTTTTGGTAGCTGCTCAATAGGGGGCGGTTTGGGAGGAGCTTCAGCCTCTGGGATTGGCTTTGGTGGAGGGGCTGGATTCGGCAGGGGGTACTAGCGGAGGCTTCTACAGCTATGCTGGTGGTATGGGTGGTGGTGTTGGCCATGGGGGGCTTTTCTCTGGAGGTGAAAAGCAAACCATGCAGAACCTCAGTGACTGGCTGGCCAATTACCTAGACAAAGTCAGAGCCCTGGAGAAGGCTGATCTGGAGAACAAAATCAAGGAGTGGTATGACAAATTTGGGCCTGGGTCTGGAGTTGGTGGAGCTGGAAGAGATTACAGTAAATACTATCCAATCATTGAAGATCTTAGGAATCAGGTGAGACACTAGCCATGTCTGAATTTCTATTACTTCTGTAGCTTTCCCATTTATTCAGATCATGGACCATGATGGTGAATTTAAATCAAGGAATTATTTGAAAACATATCTGTTTTGTTGTATATGTAAAACGGGACTTGGTGTGCTTTAACTATGACAGTATTGTATATACGACATCCAACCACATTAATTTTGTTTGCATCTTACATTTGAGTATTTCTACATAAGAGTAAAATTTATACAATGCCAGGTAGCTGATTAACATAAGAGTGATGGCTATGAGTTGACACAAGCTTCATCTAATTATTTCGTGATTAATTCTGGCAGGTTGATGTATTTTAGTGTCTTGCTAGATTTAAATCGTCTTACAACTATTTTTCTTCCTAGAAAGTCTGGTGCAAATGTTGTCTGAGAATGTGGTGGAATCTAAAATGTTTAACCACGGTTGTATGGGAAGTATATTTTTAAAGACTTTTTTGAAGTGGAATTCATGTTTCACACTGTTTCTGAAAGAGCCCATAGAACAACTGATCTTCCAAAGCATCAGAAATATTCAGAGGATTGTGTTCTGTAAAGCAACGTTCCATGCCCATTCCGATAAATGTGCAAGTTGTTAATTTTTGCAGAAAGATGTCTAAATACATTAGGATTATCAATGCAGTGTCATTACTAAGCACATTTTCAAAGCAATTCACCTTTAAAAGCTAACTCAGGAGACATCTACTCTCACAGGTGGGCATGTAGACACAGGTAAAAAGCATCCATGATTTATTCACTATTATTGTCTTTTCTAGATCCTTACTGCCACTATCGAAAATGCTGGGATTGTTCTGCAAATTGACAATGCCAGACTGACTGCTGATGACTTCAGACTGAAGTAAGAAAAATGAAGACTTGAAAACAAACGTCCTAAGGGAAATAAAATTCAATCCCTTGGCTTAGTTTACTCTAAATTTTAAAGAAACCTTTTAGGGGATCAAGACCTGAATTCACAAACATCCCAAGGGTACATTTTAAAAACCATCATTCCACCAACAAGAAAAGAAAGGCAGCTTCAGGATGAAATTTTTGTTATCAAAAATATTGGCCATCAATAGAATTAATGTAAGGCTCAGATTTTTCTTTACAAGGGAAAAACCCCTAAGAGAAAACTTAGCCTTCAATGATCAAATATGAAAGGATGGACCGTACTCTTTGAAATGGGCTGTACTGTACCCTTCCAGATACAAGAACGAGCTGCATCTCCGGCAGCCCGTGGAGGCTGACATCAATGGCCTGCAGAAAGTGCTGGATGACCTGACCATGACTCGCTCTGACTTGGAGATGCAGACTGAGAGCCTCACAGAGGAGCTGGCCTACCTGAAGAAGAACCACCAGGAGGTAGGAACACGGTCCACGATTAAATGACTGGCCTACAGAGTTTCCCCCACATCCATTCTATGACAGTAAATTCCATCTGGATGGATTTCCAACTTCTATAACCGGGGGAGAAAAGTAATGATGAGAAAACTATATGTGAATTTGTTGGGTTCTTTTTTTCCCCTTCAGTGTGCTAGTTTCAACCTTCTGTTGGCTTAAGCACATTTTAGGAAGGCATTGCTTTTCAGTCTTCATCACTCTGGTCTATTTTCCCTTCATGCTAGGAAATGAAGAGTATGCAACGAAGCTCCGGAGGGGATGTGACCGTAGAACGGAACCCAGGGACGGACCTGACTAAGTTACGGAATGACATGAGGGCACAGTATGAGGACCTGGCTGAGCGGAACCACTGCGAGGCTGAAGAGCAGTTCAACGAGCAGGTAGATCATCACCCTGAGCCTCCGAGCCCTGCCTGCAGCCACACACACACACACACACACACACACACACGCACACACACGCACACGCGCGCGCACCACTTCCGCTCAGCTCATCAGCCTCATCTCATCAGCCCCATCTCATCAGCCTCAACTCATCATCAGCCTGCAACGAGACTGCATTTCATTTGTATTTAGAGCGCATCTCTGCAAGCACAGATCTCTACCGATGCTGATGCCAGGCCAGCCAGTTCCACCAAGAATGAGATCACAGAACTGAAACGCACTCTGCAAGCCCTGGAAATTGAGCTGCAGTCCCAACTGGCCATGGTTTGTGCAAAGAGCTTTTCAAAAATCTCCAGTGGAGCAATTCGGTTTTCTTTGCCAAGATGTTCCACTTGGCACATAATAAATGCAGGATTAGGGAGGACTGTATTGTAGTTGTTGAAAGCATGAGACATTCCAGTTAAAAGTAATATATCTATTTCCATAAAAGATTTCGTTTTAAAAAAGTAATGGCAACAAAAATTAAGGAAGCAATGATAGAGCAATAGAGCTTGTAACTCATGGAAAGTGCATTTCTCCTAGTATCTTATAAAATGTAGTTTTTAAATCATCCAATGATTTATTTTCATCATGAAATTTTTATTTGCTTTTTCCCTTAGAAAAGCTCCCTGGAGAGATCAGCTCGGTGCTTTGTGACTGCCTGGAGGGGTGGGATAGGGAGGGTGGGAGGGAGACGCAAGAGGGAAGAGATATGGGGACATATACATATGTGTAACTGATTCACTTTGTTATAAAGCAGAAACTAACACACCACTGTAAAGCAATTATACTCCAATAAAGATGTTAAAAAGAAAAGAAAAGAAAAGCTCCCTGGAAGGAACCTTGGCTGACACGGAGGCTGGCTACATGGTACAGCTGTCACAAATTCAGATGCAGATCAGCGGCCTGGAGGAGCAGATCTGCCAGATCTGGGGTGAGACTGAACGCCAGAACACAGAGTATGAGCAGCTGCTGGACATCAAGACCCGCCTGGAGATGGAGATTGATCCCCACCACTGCCTGCTTGATGGAGAAGGAGGGTAAATGAAAGTCAGGAACATGCTAAACACAGACCTTGGTGTATTTACATTATGAAACCAAAAAGGGGCTTGGGGACCAGACTTGTATTTATAAAGTAAAAGAGTCCAATCAAATGACAGCTGCCTTCATGGGAAAGAGCCCTCTGCATGGAGGGTTTCTCCTGCCTTTGCAAACTGCAAAGGAAAACAATTCTTTTTTTTCTCCAGTGGTTCTGGTTTTGGAGGATCTGATTTTAGAAACTCGGGATCAGAAACACGGGGTCCAGAAACACCGGATCCAGGGATTCATCCATGTCTAGTGACTCAAGATCTGGAAGCTGTTCTGTCCAAGGAAGAGGTAGATATTTTTTTCATGTTCCTGATAATTTTATAATTGAAACGTAAAGGCACGCATTGCTTGTCATATAAAAAGTGTATACTAGTGTTCACGTCATCTTACCCAGACAGAACATACTCAGCGAATGCATTTGGATTTCTCTTGATGTATGTTTCTGTGACAGTTTCCAGACTGACATTGTGATTCTTTGATTTTCAGATCCAAGCTAGACTAGAGTGACTAAAGACCATCGTAGAGGAGGTGGTGGATGGCAAAGTTGTCTCATCTCAAGTCAGCAACGTTTCTGAGGTGAAACTTAAATAGGCAATTTCCAGATCAACAAGAGTGTCCTTCAGAGAAAACAATCTAAAAGACACGAATGAAGAAGCTGCATCAATCTAGCCATCTTTCCGGCTAACTTCGGGAAAAAGTTTCCATACAGAAATAGATGACTAACCAATTTTTCTGCATCTTTTTCTTTTCTTATTAGAATTCTCTTGAAAAAGTTGAAATGACAGCTTTGCTCTAATTGTTTCTATGCTTCAATAAATTTACTTTTGCAAGTCAACTAAATTATTTCTGAATATTTTTAAAGAAATGCAATATTTTACCCAGAAATGAAGTTCTAGATTATGATCTAGCTGCATTATCGTTACAAATAATAATGTACACATTATTCATTATTTACATAGTGTCTTCCTCATGAGAATGAAAATTATAGCCATTTTGTATGTGGGAATTTTTTTTTTTTTTGTGGTACGTGGGCCTCTTACTGTTGTGGCCTCTCCCGTTGCAGAGCACAGGCTCTGGACGCGCAGGCTCAGCGGCCATGGCTCATGGGCCCAGCCGCTCCGCGGCATGTGGGATCTTCCCGGACCGGGGCACGAACCCGCGTCCCCTGCATCGGCAGGCGGACTCTCAACCACTGCGCCACCAGGGAAGCCCCTGTATGTGGGAAATTTTAACATCACATTGGAACTTAGTGATAGCTGAAATTAGACCTCAGTGTCCCTAAAACTACAGCCAACAGCTTAGCCCACAAAAAAGGATGAGATTAAATAATCAGTCTATAATTATTAATGTCTAGTTTCTTTACGTCCATCACTGAACTGACTATTTCATGAGATAAAAAGAAACATAAGAGACTTCCCTGGTGATCCAGTGGGTAAGACTCTGCTCTCCCAGTGCAGGGAGCCCAGGTTCGGTCCCTGGTCAGGGAACTAGATCCCACATGCCGCAACTGAGACCCAGTGCAGCCAAAATTAATTAATTAATTGATTAATTTTAAAAAAAGAAACATAAGATATACCTCCTACTTCAAGAAGCTTACATTTTAGATGGAGAGAAAAGCTAAAAACACAAAGAAGATAGCAGACAATACAGGATGTTAACAGTGAAGGGCTTGATTCCACAGTATCTACCAGAAGTGCCGCAGGAATCTGACAGTGCACGTTTGCAGAGCTTTTAAGAGACTGGTCACAATAAAAGTCTTGGGAAAGAAGATGGGATATGTGATATGGTGCCAGATTTCCGAAAACCTTGAAAGTCCCAAAGGGAACAGATGCTCAGATATTTGCTCCCTTGTCAAATCTAGCCACACCTCTAACCAAAACTTGTCACTTAGCCAAGCTGGTGTTTCCTATTCCCACTCTCCATTGCTGAAGTCTTTTACCCCATGGGTGGTCCACAGAGCTCTGTCTTGTCTTGCTTGGGAAAAGAAGCCTGTTACAGTAGGGTAGGGGGTGGTATAGGTCAGTCTCAGGAAGAAACAGGCAAAGGACAAAGCCAGGCTGGGTAAGGACTTTCCCACTAAAGGAATTTAATATGACCAGACCACAAATTAGATCATCAATCCCACAAGCCAGTCCTTAAGAAAAGGACATGGGACTTGGCATAAAAACCCAAATTAAACATTACAAAAGAGTAAACCTGAATGTAATTCATGTAAATTGTACCTTCAAATATAAAATCAATAAGAGCTGCATGAGAGTATCAAACCTTAATAATAAAAACAACCAAATAATGTAGTTTGTTTTCCTCTAGGCACACTGAATAAAACATAAAAAATGAATCTGTAGGCACTCTGTAACCACAGAATGAAGTTGATAGCTAAGCATCAACCACTATTCAGAGAAAAAGAGCAACACTGTCTTAAGTCAAACGTATGTTTCCCATCAAAGCATTACAGCAAATTAAACCTTGGATGTTTCTCCTCTACTGAAAAGTTCAGAAATATGAACTCGCTGATTCAGCCTGGATTAAAGACAGAAGGACAGACATGGAAACCAGCTGTATGTGGCCTCCCATCGCAGTCATATCGGGAAAGCCTCTCTCCATGAGTCTTCCCACGTCCAGTCTTCTAGTCCTGTACCACCTGGGACCTATGTTTACGGCTAGTATTAGCCTCATGTCAGGGCAAAAGTATATGGCTACTCTGAAAATTGTCTTGAGGTGAAACCCTCATTCTGGGTTTCCTTGGCATGTGTTGAGATGCTGTATTTGTACTAAATGATCGTTTACAGATATGGAAAGGGCCAGATCACGGGTGCCAACATACTGAGATGCAGTAGAATGTGCAGTAAAATGAGCTCATTCGATTTTAAAAACTGAAATGATTGAACCATTTTGGATTGTGAAATTTATTTAGAGTGCTGAATAAAATGTTCAGGACAGGGTGTTCACACCTTATTATCTGCCCTAAAATTATTTTAAAACCACACAACAGGCATAGGCTTTATTTTCAAACTCTAAAGTTCAGCTCTCCAGTCGACTTTTAAGTAAGAGGAATGTGTTTCTTTTTTCTGAGTTGGACTTATGGACAAGAAGGAAGAGCCAATGCCAACCTGCATATAGACGTTCATTGTTGACCTTTGATCCAGAGATTCATAAGGTTCTTCTTGTCTTTCTGACCTCAAAGGACAATGGACAAGAACAGTGAGGATGCTGGAGGTGGCGTCCATCCTCACAGAGATTAGAAACAAGAGACAAGGGACTTCCCTTGTGGCTCAGTGGTTAAGAATCTGCCTACCAATGCGGGGGACACGGGTTCGATCCCCAGTCCGGGAAAATCCCACATGCCGCTGAGCAGCTAAGCCCGTGTGCCACAACTACTGAGCCTGCACTCTAGAGCCCACGAGCCACAACTACTGAGCCCACATGCCACAACTACTGAAGCCCGCGCGCCTAGAGCCCGTGCTCTGCAACAAGAGAAGCCACCGCAATGAGAAGCCGGCGCACCGCAGTGAAGAGTATCCCCCGGGCTTACCTGGTGTCGCAGTGGTTGAGAGTCCGCCTGCCGATGCCCCGGTCCGGGAAGATCCCATATGCCGCGGAGCGGCTGGGCCCGTGAGCCATGGCCGCTGAGCCTGCGCGTCCGGAGCCTGTGCTCCGCAACGGGAAAAGCCACAACAGTGAGAGGCCTGCGTACCACAAAAAAAAAAAAAAAAAAAAAAAAAAATCCTTAAAGTGATTCTATCAGAGATGAAGCATCCACTTTATCAGCTCTAAAAGGAGTTACTAATTGCTACCTCTCAATACTCTCCTGGAGGCATTGGGTTTTGCAGGGTTGAAGCCTTTCATGTCACACTTTGCCCAAAAATCAAGTCTATGGCAATTAATCTCTGGTCAAGGGAAAGGAAGACTTGTAGGGGAGAAATGTGGTTTAGGTGGCTTCTGGCGAGCTTTTCCCACCAACTTCGGGAGTGCCAACTTGGGAGCAGGTGAGGGAAGAATAGGATAAGAAATCTAAAGGACCGTTTCACAGTTTCCCTGGACCAGGTGGGGCTCTGGAGCAGGCAAACAGTATACTTGAATATAAAATCAAAGCATCGTATAAGAAATTTTGGACCTGGAGCTAATGGTCAAGAAGCAAAACAGAACTACAAGAAATATTACAGGATAATTGGGGAACTTCAAAACAAGGTAAGAAACTTTGCTACTGCTGGATGAAAGAACTACACTAAAAATGACAAAATATTAAAAGATTAGGAACATCTTACACATATACCTGTACTTTTCTCAATTTAACCAGATTAAGGCATTTAACAAGCAACAAAATATACCTCTTAGCAATATAAGGTTTTTTTCTAATTAGCTCACTTTTATATAGTTCATTTTATGGAAGGAGTTGTAGAAATGTCTCCAAAATACTTAAATGAAATTAGACTAAGTAAATTGCCTACAGTTATTTTATTCTCAAAAGAAGAGATAAATGCTATAAAGAAATATTTAAGCAATTATTTAATGTATTTGTCATTAAGGAATCATATACATCTAAAATTTCATTGAAGACCCTGAAATTGTCATCGCTAAATACCAGTGTACAGAAGTTACAAATGTGAGTGTAACAAACACAACTTTTTTGTGTCCTGCTTTCCCAGATATCAGATGCAACCATTAACGACACCAGCTTCATGCTGCAGACTGACAATATAAAACTAGTAGCCGACAGCTTCAGACAGAGTAAGACATGGTTACCTTCAATGGCAGTCACATAAGCCAAGGAGAGAAACGCTACGTGAAGTCATGCTTATTTTTATACTGGAGTCACAAGTTATGAAAAGAGTGTTTTTCTTTTTAGAAATAAATGAAATCCTAAAAATGAAAAAAAATTTTAGCTGAATACACTATAGAAGGCCTGTATTTACAAGAATGTTTTGTGTTCAAATAATCACTACCTAATTTATGTTTCATAAGTAAGAATTATTTCATTTATGTAAAGTTGAAAAACATGTACTGTACCATTACGAAACGATGTATGGTTTAGTGATGCAAACAAAAAAGGTTAAACTAAAAAGAACAGCAAATAAAATATAAACGCAAAATTCAGGGTCAGGAAGAGGGCATACAAGTGACTCAATTGTACTGGTAATGACAACGTTTCATTTCTGAGTGTGGTTCATGGGTATCTGCTGCATTGTTTTTCTCAATACATTGTACACAGTTTATAATTATTACCTTGCATCTATTCAATAATGCTTTTAGTTTCAATAAAGTAAAAAGGCTTGAATTTTAAAGGAAGGATTTGAATAGGCAGACATGAAGCCAATATGAATGAAGGAAAAGTGATAGGACTGACCATGATTTACATGGAACTATGACGTTGAATCTGGCAGAACAAAGAATTCACCTTTGGAGAATGACAGGGATAAGACTAGATACATGGAATAGGGTCAAACCATGGAGGGTCTTAGCTTCTCTGAGGAGTAGAAACTAATGTTAAGCTCCACAGAGAACTCTTGGAAGCTTTAGGCTTAGGAGAAACCTATCAAGGGTTGATTAAGGAAATTAATACAACCTCTGCACACAAGATGGATTGGAGCGGTGGGGATAGAGACTAGAGACAAAGTGAGTAGCTTACTGTAGCAACTCAAGGATAAATTGAAATTTTTCTGGATTGAGATAATCCTGGGAGAAATAAAGAATCTGGAGACAGGATTTGGACAATTACTAGACTTTAAAGAGCTAAGACAGGGTAAACAAAAATTTTTCAATTTTAAAGCAGAATAAAAATTGGAAAGTTGGGAGGGAAAGCAGAATTAGGAGAAAAGATAATAGAGCAAGTTGTACGTATATTGAGTTTGATGTAACAATGGAATACCCAACTGGAAATATCCAATAGACAACCAGAGATACAATGGACAGTTGCCTACAAGTTTCACTAAGGTAAGTATGCAGAGCATGAAAAACACAGTAGTCTTAATTGGTATGTGAAATTTATTATACACAGCCAAAATCCTAACCAACTG